AGTGGCTGTGAAGCGTAGACTTAACCTCTACTCACATCGTTTAAAATTGTTAAACTTAACTGATGTCAGAATATAGCTTAAAATACATCCATCCCTAATGTGTATACTAAATGTAACTTCTAATGATGTAGACCATTTTTTTACTTCCATTGAGCTTTTAAACTTAGAGCCTTATAAGTTAGTTCCATAGAGTTAGTAACTTCATTAATTTGCACACATTCCCATTCCGTACCTTATCACTCATATATCTTTTGTATATATTGAAATCTGTTTATGACACTAATTGGAAATTACACAAAAAAATCCCTACTTTTAATTTTAAATAATAATTTAAATTAGTAAGGTAGTGTATTTGAGATATATAGAATAGATTAAAAAAAAATTATTTCACTTTAAATTTTTTTACTTCCAAGAAAATGGGTGCTATATAAATAAGGAATCTTGTGCATCGACTTAGCTGTGACGTTGCTCAATGTGGTAATTAATTTCAGTTTTGGTTCATTAGAATTGACACGTAGCTATGGCAATAGCCATCTATTATTTCCTGTACGTTATTTATATTTACATTTTTCATTACATACACACATATCTACATTTCATTAATCAATTCTTAGTAATATTTTGAATAATAAAAAATTATAAAAAATAAAATATATAAAGAATAATTTATGTGATTTCTGAATAATGCAAATAATTTTGTTATCGATGTATAGGTTTAAACCATCTTTTATAGTTGTTCCAGTTATGCCTGAGTTAGTTTATAATTTGAAGTTAATTTAAATAAGTCATAATCTTAATTTAGTTATAGTTTATTTTCTATGTGATTTTGTGGTGTTAACAGATAAATTATCTGGAATTGGTTGACACGAAGATATATAGATCTCTGGGTCCTCACCGACAATAATTAGATTAGTCATAAAAACTTTGTTAAAAAAATTTTATGTCAAGATAATAAAATTTTATTTAATAGGATTTTTTCTAAAAATAATATCTAATAATTATTATAAATTTAGATAATCACTTACAATGTATTACTGTTTTATATGAAAAATTTGTGTTCCTTCTTTAGTTGGTTAATGTATTAATCTCTAATGCTTACTACTACCATTCAGTATGACTATCCTAATATGCGGTATATATTTCGGTAAAGAAGACATTAAGTCTATCTGGTAGATAAAGTATATAAAAATAAGAGAGCACAGGACCGTAACAAAGCATATGTGTGGCACTTTCATCAGTCTCCCTATAACTGCGACAGAAATCATTAATAGGGAGATATAATATTCTTGTTTCGAAGAGATTCAATCTTCTAGATTTTAAGAGATTCAATCTTCTAGTTACTAAGAGATTCAATATTTTAGATTCTAAGAGATTCAATCTTTTAGATACTAGGAGATTCAATCTTCTAGATACTTGGAGATTCAATCTTTTAGAAACTAGGAAATTAAATTTTTTGGATTCTAGGAGATTTAATCTCTTAAATTCTAAGAGATTCAATCTTCTTGATACTAGGAGATTCAGTCTTTTTGATACTAGGAGATTCAATCTTCCAAATTCTAAAAGATTCAATCTTTCAAATTCAAAATGATTCAATCTTTAATCTGGTTCCCTAATTTGCTGTGATGCATCAAAAAACCTACCGCAAAACTGATATCTTTACGGAGCATCTCAATAATATTTTTGGTATTTTCACCTTTATACAACGCGGTCAATTTGCATACAGACACGTCAACTCGTTCGTTGAGTCTTCTCATCTTGTATTTAATTTGTCGATACAGAAATGCGTGGCATTAAAATTTCTTTATATTTGTTATAAATAATTATTATTTTTTAATTGATAAAAATTATTATTTTATCCTGTGATTTTCTAATTCAAGCTAATTAGCCTTTAATACATATAAAAAAAAAAAACAAGTGAAGTGCATCCTTTGAATTAATTTTTCAAAAAATATTTACATATTTGTGGTGTTTATGAGATGATCTGGTATGATAAAGGTGAATGAACATTTGTTGCTGGCTGAGCAGAAATGATTCCAATGGATATGTAAAGTCCTGTTTAAAATTTATTAAAACACACAGAGATGAGGTCAATTTAATTGTTTTGTTTGCGTTTAATAGAATAAGTTCTTTTTTTAATGTTGTTCTTGTTGTTTTTGTTGTTGTAGCTGCAGTTGTAACTGCATTTATTGCGATTGTGCATATTGTCCACACTCTTACCTCCTAGTTTAATATCCTTTATATCCTGTGTATATACACATATGTGTATGTTAAAATATATGCTTCAGTTAGTCGGGAAAACAGGGAAGTAGAAAGGTAGGAAGGTAGGCAGAGGAAGGTAGGTAGGCAGCAGTTATGTATACAAAAGATTTTGTATTATGAAAATGTATTTGATGCACACATTTTCGATTGCCTTCAGATACAATGAATAAGAGGTGAGTGAGCGCTTAATGTGTTTAGGTTTGAGTGTTTCTTGTACATTTGTACAACACGAAAAGCAACAACAACAACGAAATAATAACAAGTAGTAATCGTTTATATGTTCTGTGAGCTCCTTTTGTTGTTCCCTTTGATGGACGAAACCAATATCTACTTATTAGCGAATATGCACCCATGCAACCGCAACTTTTACCACTGAATTAAGAGACAGTGTTGAAAGGGAACAGCTAATTATAAACTAAAAGTTCTATTAAATTTTAATATAAGCAAATGCTCAATTTACCTAATTGATTATACTAAAACGACCCGTAGATATTTTAATGGAGTTTACTTACTCCTTTGTAAATAGTTCACGCAACTAACTGTAAACCAAGGATATAATTTGTTGTATAAACCAAAGTGAATCATATAATTTATATATGTTTAGGTGAAATATGTTATCAGAGATATTATGCCAATTCTATCAAATTTCATAGTTTTTAGTTTAAAAAAAAATTTAATTAAAATTAAAAGACAACTCACATCTTAATTTCTTTTGCTTCCGTCACACTTAATATAGAATATAAGTTTGAAAACTAAATGAAATTTCTTTTGATAATGGAGGGCATCTTTCTCAAGGCAACAACAATAACAATACCAACAACATTGGAAGCAAAAGTAACAGTAGTAGGAACATTGCATACCTTTGTGCAGATAATCATGTACTTAGGTATACCAAAACCGCTTTACATATGCACAATAAACGCAATGCACGCACATACATATTGACAATGCCTACACAAACAAACCAATACAAATATAATTACTCACAGGACATAATATTGGGTGTGCTTTTGCATATATTCATATTAGGTCATTGACATTGTAGCAGCATTAAGAAGAACATCCTACCAAATAGCATCGTTTTAAGTTGCAGTTAAGCTATCGCTTGTATGCATTACACATGAAGTCTATCCGTACTACTATGTGTAATTATTTGGATTGCTTGACATACAGTACATCTAATTACAAAAAAAAACCATTTTATTAATTATAAAATAGTTCGAAAGACTAAATAGAGTCCACTAAAGACATTCTTCTGGTAGTAGATATATAGATGTTATTCTAAATGTGATAGTATCAGGTGCACTTCATGTTTAATTTACAGTTTAAATAACTGTAAATGGTATTAATAATAGCTTTAACTAAAAATAAAAGTTTAGAACTGATTGGGCACCTCATTTATTTACCGTATATACCTATTGATATAGTAGTAAAAATTTGTGATTGTTTATCCTGTAGGTCCACTAGTAGTTTACACTGTTGTTGTTATTGATATCACTTTTCGGCTATGGGAAAACGATGCTGCTTTTATGAGTGATAAATGAGAATTAAAAGCGGCACTTCATCCTTAATGTTGGTGTACTTCCCGTAATAGTTGGCTATTACAGACATGAGTCGTCCTTAGCCACCTAGGTTGACTATAGTCGAAGTAAAAGACTACAACAATAAAAGAACTCTAGTGTGCAATTTAATAGCACCTTACTTTAAATATAAGTTATCACAAATTTAATAAAAGGAAGAGTTAATAAAAGGAAGAGTTACCGTTACACGTAATTATAACTTCTGATTTTATAGTGAGTGATTCATATCTGTACCGACCTAAATGTGCAGGCACCTGAGTTATCTAGTACCTTCTCAGTACCTAAGTTTTGGACGCAGTTGCATTTCTCTTTTTATTTTAGTTTATTTAAACAAATGTTTTAGCATTAAGTTAGTGCCAATGTGAGATTATAAGAATAAAGTCCAATTTTAAATACAATACTTTGGAAACATTAATTAATATGAATCGTTTAAATGAAGATGTTAATGTTGTTTGCACTTTTTCACGTAATATGTGTGATAATAATACAATATATATAATATATTATAATATATCTGACCAGTTAAAAAATTATGAAGGAAGAATAAAATAAGCTTTGACTTTACTCATAACATAATTATCTCTCATTTCTATTGACTAAGAATTACTAAACAAAATTTTCTCATATTAGATTTTCCTACACACAATCACTTCATATTTCAATTTTCACTAAACGATCAAATAGATTATAGAAATAAATTGTCTCAGTAGTTCACGTACGAGTATTAGATCTCACCAATTATAGAATATAACTTAAGCATCATGGATATGTGGCTGATTGATCGGGCTTAACATACGGTTTTCTGTGATTAGAGTTAATGTAGTGGATCCACTTTTCATCACCATTCCATTTAGGCATTTGCTGCTTGTGTCACCCCAATCATTCTGCAATTTATTGTAGCGGTTGACACAAATTTTGGTAGAGTAATCATTCAAAGATTCTTTCTCTGCATTTTCAAACCTTTTGGGTTGGTGTAATGACTCTTTGTCTTTAATATGACAAATCATCACTTTTAGAACATTAAAACCACATTAAACGCACCATGATTTCATTATAGTATCGTCACCATACAGTATCACCAGTAAACGATGACAATTGGCAACAGTTTCTTTTATGCAAATAGAGGGTTAAAAAATCTTCCCATAATTCTAAAGATTTTCTATAATTGCTAAAATCGTATATGTACATAATATCTCTTTACTGCAGAGGAAAGTTGTCAAATGGAACTTCAAAACGTTGTATATGTCATTGAGGTATTACATACTTTGCTTGCATGCGTGGTGCCATCTGTTATTAAATTCTGGTTATTAAGTTATACACTCAGCGTTTGTAGAGAATTCTTTAACAAAATCTTTTCATATTAGATTATTATCGAATTCTGGTTACTGAGTTATGTACTCAATATTGATAGAAAATTCTTTAACAAAATGTGTTCTCATCTTAGATTGCAATGGTTTTATTCTCTTCTCGCTGTATTTAAAGCTTCATCAAGCAATCAAACCTTTAATTGAGACGATTTACTATAGGCAAATGGTCTAAGTAAAAAAATATATATAAAAACCGAATTATATAGATAAGACAAAAAAATATAATTAAAAAATAACTAAAATATGTTTTATTTTTTTTCAGATAACATCTTATGATCGCCTCTCGCTGCGTATATGTCACGCCTGCATTAGCTATTTGAACTCTTGGCAGAGTTTTAAAAATCGTTGCCTTACATCTCAGAAAAAACAACGCAGTTGGGTAGATAATAACTTAAGCATAACAACAACACCAGCTGATAATACGCAAGATGAATATCAAGAACAAAGTAGCTTGGCATCATCAATATTGGATGGAATTACCACGTTAAAGAAGCGAAAATCTTTAACAGTTTATGTGAGTCCTAAGAAACGTCAACAACAACAATCTGTGCAGCAACAACAAAAGCAGCATAAATTAATAAAACTCTTAACACAACCATTTAAATCCAAAGCACATCATGCATTCCAACAACAATTGCTAATGAAATCTCAGCAACAATTTAAAACTAAAATAAAACGTAAAAAGCAACAGAAAATGTTGCTACCACAATTGCCGCAATTACCTGTACTATCGCAGTTATCAGATCTAACAAGTCTTAGCCCGTTGCCTCAACAGCAACCAACGGCAACAGAGGTTGCTACAACAACCTCTTCAAATGCTGCACAGCAATTGCGTTTGTTTAGACGATACTCCTATAATGTAAATGTATCGTGTAGGGGTTTTACCAGCTAAACTATATTATTTTTAATATATATTTTAAGATTTATTTCCATGTATAAATTAACTCGTTCAAGCAGAGTTTTTTCTACCTTTTTTAAGAAAAAAGTTAACATCTACAAAATTAAAATATTTAACATATTTTGGCTAAAGTAGGGTTGTAATACTATGCCCATATACGCATCCTAATTTTTAAAAATGTTTGGAAATATTTTTTATTTAGCTTTCATAATAATTTGATTTAATTATCAAAAGATTTATTCTTTTGATAATCCCTTTTAACAGTTTATTTAAAGACATATACGTCATATCGATCTTAAACGACTATTCCGACAATACCTTATAAATTTTTAACGTTACTATTTTTTTATAACAAAATCTTCTAAAAAGTGCTAATTTTTTAGTGTTGTATATATGACGACATTCAGTTGAAATATATTTTATTTTATTTATTAAATATCTTCAATATAATATAATAATCTGAAATCTGTATTTTGTTTAATTGCAGCCTTTACCTGCAGTACAAATTAAGGAAGAACCAACGGATAATGATGACGATTATAGTATGAAGCATCATGATGAATCTGATGATATTGTTGACCCAACAATGTTTTTGGAACGCACACAAGAAGAAGAGGAGGAGCCAATAATGGTAATATATAATAAAATTTCAACAGTACATAATCAATGCAACGCCATTTTTTTTTGTAGGAACCTCCACATTATAGTTTTTCGAGTGATCAACCTTCTGTTATAAGTGATGTCAAAGAAGCATCCTGCCGTGCGTGCAACTTAAAATTTTCTACGCGTGCAAATGCACGTCGTCATGAACGTAACTTGCATCCCAACCTTTTTGAATTCGGTCCGGCTTCTGCTAATAGTACACCAATTACTAGACCTACAGCAGCTCTTGCCGCGGCATTAGAGTTGCGTCGTACTAATCAAAATTCTAACGCTGCCGACACATCTTCGTTACTGTCACAACAAAAATATCGTCAATTAGTTGTGAATGCTTTCAATCAAGGCGAGGCGGGTGGTTATGATTATGACAGTCCAGAAAAGTATCAGCAATTACTAACTGACGAGAAAATAGTGTTTCTACAACAGAATGAGGACTTTTTGTCACAATATCAAAATATGACTTGTCGTTGCTGCAACAGAAGTTATACTACTTACAAGAATTTTATGGCTCATATGCGTAAAAAGTATGCGACGCTGCCACGGAACTTATGTTTCAATTGCTTGAAATTGAATGATTCGAAGGCGCATTTCAT